GTAAATAAACAAGAAGTAGGCAGAAAAACGAAAAATTCAAAAAATAAGTGATGCGTGATGAAAAATAAAAATGTAAAAACCTTCTGGGTCTTCCTCTTGGTGCCATCGTTGATGCTTCACGCTATAAAAATGAAAAACACACTAAGATCTGACGTTACTGACGCCGCCCAAAGAGGTTGTTGAATTTATTTATTTATTTTTTTTTTTTATGAATTTAAACCCTAAGTTTGAGCCCACATCGGCTTAAAAAGAAGAAAACAAACGAAAAGAACGGAAAAATTGAAAGAGACGTTCAATCTGAGTGAAGTTCAAAGCAGGAGAGCTCCAACAGACGAAACTTGTGTGTATGCATGCCTGTGCATATGTGCAAACAATAAGAGAGTACGTTATATATTGTATGACAAATGGCATTCAACCACCGTTTGAGCATTTTTCTTTTCGGATTTTCTAATTGTGATTTTTGAATAACGTGAGGGTTAAAAAGTATACAAATTTTTGAATTTACATGTTGTTTCGCGCGGGTAGTCGCTAATAATTAAAAAGAGATCAAACGATTGTGTAAGGAACAAATCTCTTGAGACAAAGTCTCAAAAAGAGGTATTTTATTGATGATGATTTACAATTGGAACTAAACAGAATGCCTCCAAGGGGCGTAAGCACACGAGTACTGAAAGAAATGTTTAAGTTTAAACTAAAAAATTGAAATTGTATATTCTCTGTTTGAGAGTGTTTGATTCGGGAGTTTTTTTCTCTTTGTCTTCTCTTCCTTTTATATTCCCTTGATGATTTCTTCGTGACAAACCGCTTGAAAATTGTTTGATTGCTTTATAACTACCCATTTTCTTTATGGTGGCTAACTTGTCGTGGAACTGCCATCTCTAACTGCTGCCACTACTCTTTGTCATTCAACCGCCTTCAACTGGGTTCCTTGAATCGTGGAATGTGATAAAGTTATTCAATAACTGCTTCAATAACTGCATTTCTGGATAACCATAATATTTTATGTTTGCTAAGATCCTGGACGATTTGAAGGTATGGGCGAGAACAGGGTCATCGCTCTGGGCGACTGTAAGGCACTCCATTCGCTCAGATCTTGGGCGTCTTGCAAGTTTGGGCGATGATGTTACTGTGTTCGTGGGCTTCCACTGCATTCATTAATAACCCTGTCTGGACTTTTATCCTGAATTGTCCAATTGAGTTTCATTCTTTGGGCTATTTGATTTGGAAATTCCTCAATTGGGCTATTCGATTTGGGCTGCATTTTTAGTGTGTCAACAATTACCCCCAATATGGCAAAATTAATACTAATTATTAATCTTTGCCATATTCACTTTATATTTTCCAGCAATATTTGAAAATCCCAAAAATTTCAATCATTATTTACTTCTACAATCTGAAAAAGTGCAACGTTACAAATCCTTATAAATCAAAAGGACACGCCATTTCATTGCACCACTCGACCACGTCTATACTTCGCGCTTCTTCCTTGCTATTTTATTGTTCATCTTCTTGCTTTTCTGCTACGTTTCCCAGGCAAACCTTGTCAAAATTGTATTTTGTTTCCAATGGCCACTTCAAAAACTCAATCTGATGATTCCTTTAGTTTCGAAGATTTTCAGAAACTCCTTACTAGGCCATATGTAAATCTAAACTTCCTTACACAAGTTAGTGCTGACCTCAATGAATTCTACTTGGGTCCATCATTCAATAATGCCGAAGCCGTCGAACAAGTGGCGGTGGGCCAACTGTTCCCTTGCACTCATAGCCCTCAATTCCTGAACTCTTTGCCGCTGAGGCCGATTCGCGAAAAAGGTATTCGCACTTGGATTTTTGATTTATTAGAAATCGCTCTTCAACCCCCAATTTTTGACCCAGTGCTTTTTCCTATTGCTTTAAGTTTTTGGTCTTCTGAATATAATACATTTGTTTTCCCTCTTGGTCCCATGTCTATTACTTTAAGGGATGTTGGGGCCCTAGTAAATCTCCACCTTTGGACAATACCATTTTCCCTGGTATTTTGATTTTCGGTGTCACCCCGAAATTTGACAAGAAACTTACTGAGTCCTATTCAAGCCTGCAAAGCTCTTATAATCACTCAAGCGCTGAACCTTCCCATGCTGAGCGTGTGGCCTTCCTTCAGATTTGACTTTGTAAATATATTTTTTGCGTGCTAAGTATGAAACCTTCCATGAGCTACTTACCCATAGCGCATGAATTGGCGCGTGGTAGGCCTTTGAACTTATGTTATTTCTTTCTAGCCGCCCTTTATAGAGGCATGGCTTCCCTTCAGTTTCAACTGAAGAATGGTGCATCTCCCACTGGTAGTGGCCCCCTTTGGTTCACGCAGTTGTGGTTGAGAGTATATTTTCCACCACTTGGTGCTCCATCCATTTCCAGTCGTTCTGCTAGCTGCTATGGGCTAGCTATTGATCCACTGACCCCGTACATATGTCCAGTAGAGACATTTTTATTCCTTAAATTCGATTCCTTCTTTCTTTCCTTTTCTTGCTCATTTGACCCCAGATTATGTGCAACCTCCATCCACCCTAGACAG